ACCGTGGGACCCCTCCCCACCCCTCAGCCCGGGGTCCCCGCGCCCCCTCCCCGTTCCCCCCGCTCACCACATAAACCACGTTGAGGGCGCAGAGCGCGTTGCGCGAGCAGGCGAAGCCGCCGCAGACCATGGCGGGGCCGGGGGAGGGTCCCGAGTGGGTTTTTTGGGGTTTTTTGGGGGGTTTTTGGGGGTTCCGGGCTCCCCGCGCCGCGGCCCCTTTAAACCGCGGCCCCGCGCCCCGCGCGCGCCCGCCCGCACTGCGCCTGCGCGCGGCGCCAAGCCCCGCCCACTTACCCGGTGTTTATGTATAGCCCCGCCCATAAACCACGCCCCTTCTCTGCTATAGGCCACGCCCACAACACCGTATATGGACATAGCCCCGCCCACAGCCGCATCGGGACTGCGCATGCGCACGGCTCTCGGTGAAACCCCGGTACAGGCGGGGATGGTCCCGGTACAGCACAAGGGGTGGGTTAGGATTTGGGTCAGGTTTAGGGTCAGGGTTAAAATCAGGGTTAGGGTTTAGGGTCAGGGTCAGGTTAGGATTAGGGTCAGGTTTAGGGTCAGGTTTAGGGTTAGGGTCAGGGTTAGGGTTGGGTTAGGGTTCCGGTCAGGTTTAGGGCTGGTCCCAGTCCGTCCGGGGGTGGGTTAGGATCAGGGTCAGGTTCAGGGTCAAGTGTAGGCTTAGGTCAGGTTTAGGATCAGGGTCAGGTTTAGGATCAGGGTCAGGTTTAGGGTCAGGTTTAGGGTTAGGCCAGGTTTAAGGTCAGGTTTAGGGTCAGGTCAGGTTTAGGGTCAGGTTTAGGCTCATGTTTAGGGTTAGGTCAAGTTCATGGTCAGGTTTATGGTTAGGGTCAGGTTTAGGGTCAAGTTTAGGGTCAGGTTTAGGGTCAGGTTTAGGGTCAGGTTTAGGGTCAGGTTTAGGGTCAGGTTTAGGGTCAGGTTTAGGGTCAGGTCAAGTTTAGGGTCAGGTTTAGGGTCAGGTTTAGGGTCAGGTTTAGGGTCAGGTTTAGGGTCAGGTCAAGTTTAGGGTCAGGTTTAGGGTTAGGTGAGGTTCAGGGTCAGGTTTAGGATCAGGTCAGATTTAGGCTCAGGTTTAGGCTCAGGTTCAGGGTCAGGTTTAGGATCAGGTCAGATTTAGGCTCAGGTTTAGGCTCAGGTTTAGGGTCTGTCCGGGGTTCCCGGCTCCGTGACCGAATGTGGGCGGGGCCAATCCCGACCCCTAACCCCGTGCACCATCACTTCCGGCGCAGCAGCCAATCAGCGCGCAGATCCCCACGTGACCGCCGCCCAYCCCGCCAAGATGGCGCTGTCCATGGGCGCCGCTCGCTCGGGGCTGYGGCGGATCGGCCCCGCCGCGCTGAGCCCCCCGCGGGCACGGCTGGAGCCG